CAATTATTTCCAAATAAAAGACAATAACCATAAAAAATTTGAATAAACCTAAATATCAATTTACGACAACTATAGCAAAAAAATAAAAAATAAAAAAATTCTAGAATGTATGTAAATGTACGGGTCAATCCTTATACTTAATATAAAGGCACAGTAGGCAAGAAATTAAATACCCAAGAAATATTCAGGGCCACCTTCAAATTGATCTCGTACATCGGATAGCCTTGATATGACGTTAGCGACTTATTGGGGGCAAAAAGGAGAATGCATAAATTCAATTTCAAATTAATGAATGAGAAAAAATATGAATTTTTGGTAAAAAAAAATCCCCAGATATCAAAACAACATCGTTTTATACCCTTATTTTATTCCCAGTAGTGAAAACGACGACTTTTTTGTATCAATGTTTTCTTTTTAAAAAGAAATTTTGTTGAATCCCGAAACAAAATGACCACAGATTATACTTGCGCTTCATCTTTTCTTTTTTCCTTCTTGTTTTTTAGCCTCCTCCCTCTTTTTTAGGACCTCTATTTACGCTGATACCCCCACCGTTTTTTGGGACCGAAGGATTATATATAAAAAATTGTTACAGATACGAATTAGAACCGCAGTTCCTCCGCCGCGACTAAAACTATAGCTGCGGCTAAATATCAAACTGCCGCTAAAGACCACCTTCAAAATTGAATCTAATCACCATAACCTCCGTGCAGAGTTGTTGAAGTTTATTGTCAGAACGTTTGTTTATTGAGTCCATAGATTCAATTTTGCAACCTTCACCGGTGAGACTGTTGCTGCGAAGAGTCGCTCACCGGATTTTCCAGAGGATTTTTTCCTCTTCTCTCCCCACTACCGTGGATTGTGCCACCAACTCACTCACCGGAAAAAAAAAAGTTCGGTCTTTCTGTACTATTGTTGCTGCTTCTTTTTCCTTAGAGTCTACTCCTAATATTTTCTTCTTCTTTTTTTTGTTGATTTTTGTCGGTGTTTACATTGCAGAACTTTCTAATAGGGTAGAAACCAGAATTGCATAATTTCTGCTATTTGTTTCTGTTGAGAGCTCTCCGCGCAAAAAGAGGACACCAAACCACATCAAATGCCAAGGACAATCAGAAGGACTTTTTTGCCGGGGCTCTCCGCAGTTCCTGAATTGTTTTATTCTCCAAAAAGGTTTGTTTTGGTGTAGTTCTCTTTTTATTATGATTTGTTTTGATTCTGCTTTTGCCATTCAATAGGAAAATAGTTACTTCATCATGAAATCTTGAATGATATCTAATCTTGTCTATGCTCACTGAATTTCACTTTGTCCTAATCTTTTCTTATTTTTCAGGTTGCCTAATCTGTAATATTTTTCATGGATGTTCCAATTAAACTTTGTGAAGATGGTATCGTCTTCGTCGTCCTCCTCGTAAGAATTTGATTATTTGTTCAAGTTATTGTTGATTGAGGATTCTGGAGTAGAAAAAAGTAGTCCTTTGCTCAGCTTTACTCCAGATACCTTCGAAGATCTCTCTCCTACCATAGGTAATACTGATTTTATTTTTCCCTTTCATATCTTTTGCATTAAAACGAATTTGAAGTTTTGATCTCAATATTCACATATGGTTATGATTTTGGTTGGAAAGGTAGGATTTTACGAGAATGTTTGAGTTGCTGAATTCTATTTAATCTAGCAGAATTTCATGTAATTGTGTTTGTTTTAGGTTATTGTCGGTTAGTCATCAAATTGAACTCTTTCATAATATGAAGAATTATAAGGAGAGTGAGAAATAGAGAGATATTGTCAGCAGAAATAGCGGAATTGTGGAACCTGAGCCATGTTATAAGGACCTTTGCAAGATATAGTTCCTTTTTAAAATTTCTTTTTTTTTTTAATCCTATTGAATTGGCCGAATATTTGTTCTTCTTTTGTGTTTCAAACCAATTTTAAATGTACATGGAATATGGAATATTTGCTGATCAATTGGTTTCATGTCAATTTATGTCAATTTATCTTATGTTAGTTGGACAAAGGTGCAGACCTTTTAACCCTGGTAAAAGTTCTCATGACTTACTATTTTTTGGGATATGATCATGTTTGCATTGGTGTGTTGTATACTGTCTCCACCAAACCTGATTTGTTTTGAACCTATTTAATTGCAAAGTGAAAATTGAAGTGGAAGGGAGGCCTTTTTATGCCTTAGGTTTGAACACATAAAATTTTGGTTTATTGAATTGGTAGACATTCTTTGTTGTTGTTCCCTACATGTGATTTATATGAGAATACATTATCAATCACTTTAAAATTAATTGGGTTACAGAGGTTCCTTTACTGTCAACAAAGTGAATCACGTGGAAGACTAATCAAATGTAGTTTAGTATATGATCGCAACAACATTGTATCAAATTGGGACCAAAATTTGTCATAAATCCTCACTCCACTAGGTATCTGCACCAAAATTTGTATTTCTTTTACTGACTTTATATACTTGTGATATTGTAATGTACTCTTTTTCTGACTTTATGTTTCTAATGTTTGACTGTTTTATAATAAAGAACTAAAATACCATCTCTTTATATGTCTACGGTTCAAAAAAGTTGATTAGCCTTGAGAAATTGCCTCCATGTCTAGATTTGAATATTTTTCTCTAATTAATATGCCTAGGCTCTCTTTAAAGTGATTGACTTTATGGATTTATGCCTTAGGTTTGAACACATAAAATTTTGGTTTATTGAACTGGTAGACATTCTTTGTTGTTGTTCCCTAAATGTGATCTACACGAGAATACATTATCAATCACTTTAAAATTAATTGGGTTACAGAGGTTCCTTTACTGTCAACAAAGTGAATCACGTGGAAGACTTTTGTTGTTCCCTAAATGTGATCTACATGAGAATACATTATCAATCACTTTAAAATTAATTGGGTTACAGAGGTTCCTTTACTGTCAACAAAGTGAATCACGTGGAAGACTTTTGTTGTTCCCTAAATGTGATCTACATGAGAATACATTACTGCCCTTTTGTTGTTCTTCAGGTTCAGGAACTTCACTGATTGTACCAGATACAGATAAAAATAGCGAAGAATTTGCAATTGAAAGGGGTAGGTACATTAGAAAAAGATAATCACTGTCTCTGTACCATTTAAAAAAACTTTGTTTCGTAAGACTTTCTGGTGGCTTTTGCTTCTCTGCTGCCTTACTATGCTTCTTGCAATCTATGCCAACAATCATTTGGTTGTCAATAGTGAGAAAAAAGATAAGTATTTCGAGTTTCTTTACCCATTAAATGTCAAAAATAGGAATCTATTATGTTATTCTAGAAGACCTTTCAGAGAAGGAAACACTCTTCTATAACTTTGCGCACAAATGTTTCTATTGTTTATCCTTAATTTTCTTTTTATCATTTACTACATAATTTCTTCATCTATCTGGAACAACTTTTATTGGTGCATATTCTTCAGCTGCTCGCCAAACAACTATGAACTATGTTTCACACGCACTTAGTTGATTCTTAAGATTTGCTCAACAAATAATATGGCGAAAAATAATTTCATTGAGTTTGATCTTATGCAACTACTTGACTCTTGCTCAGTAAAGTCATGATCAACTACTAGGTTTGGAATTTTTTTGGCGTACATCCCTATACTTTTATTTTTACTGCTAATTAGGCATTAGTTTCTGGTCTCCATTTCTATTTTTTTGCACCAATGTTTCCATATGTCAAACCTTTTGCCACAAACCTGGTCTGATGGTAGTGTTGACAAGTGATTTTTTGATAATCCTGTGTGGGCTTAAAATCTAGCATTTATACAGATAGTTCTATTATTGTTATTGCTGCATTTAAAGTAATGCCGCCATTGCTGTCAAGACAAGCCCAAAACAATAGGAAAGTGGTTCATTCCAAGCTCACTTTACCCGAGAAAACAAGGTTTCTTCACCTCCTAAGGCTACTACTTTGATTCTTTTGTAGCAACCGATCCTAATTTATGAGCTCCTAATATAGAAATTCATAAAGCTCGAGTACTACCTTTTACTTTTTCTCGATTTGGTGAATACAAATAGTCTTATCGACTAAAGAAAGGAATAGAATGCAAAGTAAAGTCAAAGATAAAAAAAAAGGCTACATTTCATAATAAAAAGATTAAGTAATTGTAATTCAAATTATTGACATAGAATTCAATAAAACAAACTATTTTTATACTTGATCTGTAGCATTACTTTTTGGTAACAAACATAGTATAATAATTATATAATACAAACTGGTTGCGCATCGCGCGACAAAGACAAGCCTAGTATGAAGTAAATGTATGTCGATATAGCAGTGTAAATAATAATAATACCATATGGTGCAACATTAGTATAAGGGCAAAAAAAAATCTTACTTAACATGATATGAATGTGATTTTTCTTTTTGATTTTTTTAAGATAATAACATATAAGTCTTGGTATAATTATTAGATTAAAATCTTTTGTCTTATAATGTTGAGTTGTTGACATATAAACACAAAAATTTTTCCCTATATGCCAATTGATGCGTCTGTCCGGTTTTATTTGGACTTTTTTTTTTTTTTCTCAATAATCTCTAGCGCCGAAAACAAAAACCCCACAAAATAATAAAAGAAAAAAAAGAAAAAGAAAAAAAAAAAGGAAAAAAGCCGCAGCAGCTCAAAATCAGTGGTCTCCGTGACGCACACAGTGTGGGGTATATATATATATAGATTTAGCCATCTCAGTCTCTTCCACAGCTCTTCTTCACGCAGTCACACACTGGAAAAAATTAACCGAACAGAAAAGGCGCCCATTGCCAGCAGCATCGAAGGAATCCTTTTTATATCAAGATTGTTTGAACTTTGGAATGCCGGAATCTTAGCTAGGGGGTTTTTGATTTTTTTGGAAAGTGTGGGCGGTGGTGTTTGCCAGATCTTGGTTTTAAATCGGGCATTCTACAGATCTAGGGTTTATCCTATTTGGGGTTTTTTATTTTGATTTTTGGAGGGGATTGGATTCTCGTTTCAATCCCATATGGCTTCTCCTTTTCACTTGCCAGTTACTGCCGCTCAGGTTTCCCCTCCTATCTCTTCTTGCCGCTTACTGTTCGTGATTCTGCTTTGCCAATCCGAGTTTTCTTGTTGTTGATATGAATTTTTGTTTTGTTTTTTGGATTTATATTAGGTTGGAACGTACTTTGTGGGGCAGTACTATCAGGTATTGCAGCAGCAGCCGGAATTTGTTCACCAATTTTACAGTATGTCCAGTACTATGCTTAGGATTGATGGGAACACTAGGGAGACCGCCACTGGCATGGGGGTATGTTCTTCCCCTTTGTTTCTATCCCAGTCTGAATAACTCAATGTATGAGGATGAAAAAGATTATCTTTTTGATTTTTTTGCTTGGCCCACGTTCCTAATTGATTGGATACGATTCTTAGTACTGGTTAAATCCGGTTTCTTGATTAGCATCTTTAAAGATAACTAACAGGTTAAATCCGTTTTCTTGATTAGCATCTGTAAAGATAACTAACAGGTTAAATCCGTTTTCTTGAATAGAATCTTTGAAGATAACTGGCCGCCACTTTTATCATGGACAAAATTTACTTTCTGTCTATTCCCCTTTTGATTTCTTGATGCCATGTCTGTGTTTTATAAGTATAGCAGATTGAGTGGAATTTTAACTATATATCCATGTGCTTAATTCTTTGGGGTGGTTAATGCATGCTACATTTTGTCAGATGCTTTTCACTTGCAGACCTGTTGTTTAGAGTACTGTTCTAGTTTTGGTAGCATTGGCGACTATATTTTCTCACTAGAATATCTGAGTACAATTTCGGCAATAATACTGTTTTTACTCAAGATAGAAATTTAAAGTTTCTCATCGCCCTTGTTTTCTCTTTTCAGCAAATCCATGCGCTTATTTCGTCATTAAGTTACACAGCCATAGAAATTAAGACGGCTCATTCATTGGAATCATGGAATGGAGGAGTTATGGTCATGGTTTCAGGTTCTGTACTTGCAAAAGATTTCAGTGACAGGAGGAAATTTGTGCAGACCTTTTTCCTTGCCCCGCAGGACAAGGGTTATTTCGTTCTCAATGATATTTTTCATTTTGTCGATGAAGAAAACATCATCCAGCATCCAGCAGCCTATTTAACGCACGGCCTGCTTGAATCAAAGATAAATGCTTCAAATGCACTTCAAGAACAAGGTATGGTTGGATTTTCAAATTTCAACAGGGAATAGTACTAATAAATTTCTATATTCTAGACTTTAAGAATGATTAAAAAAAAATTGTAACGTGAAATAGTTGTAAGTTAGCTTCTTTATTTGTTAATTTTGCCATCTTAGTGGGGATCATACACATTTCCTTATGCTGATTTGTACACTGACCTCTGCAGTACCAAACTATGTTTTGGATGGAGATATTCAAGGTAGGGAATATGCAGCTACTTCAACTGTTGGCGAAAATGGTCCTGTCGATAACTATAGTTATGCAGAGGAAAGGCTACAGACTGTCCCCGAAGCTGACAAAATCCTTGAAGATAATTATGCTGTACAATCAAATGGTTCACATCAACATGCAGTAAATCCTGTGCAAGACCATTTGTCATTACCTGTTGAGGAACCTGTTGGCGAGCCCCAGAAGCTCACTTATGCTTCCATTGTATGCAGTAGCTTTAGTTTTAAGTTTTGGAACATTTGTTCTGCTCATGTCTGCTATGATTTACCTCGATGCTAATTGTAGTGACTTTCTGTTCAAACTTTTAGCTTGCAAAAGGGCAAATAAACCAAACGGTTGCTCCTGTTCCCGTTAACAAAGCTTCATCCCCATCCTCAGAGTGGCAACAAGTACCAGAGGCTCCTAGTCAGCCATCCATTCCATCATCAAACAATTTTGAGAGAGTGGAGCAGTTTGAAGAAACTTCTGCTTTTGAAGATGAAGGTGACACCAGATTTCATGTTTTTAGAATATTTGTTGGATTGGTGATATCTTTAAATTGAATGGGGAAGCTACTATTGATGATTGGAATCTCTTGTGACCATTGGGCCGTGTTTCATCTTTTCTCTGTTATGCGCAGTTGAAGTGAAGTCGGTGTATGTTAGAAACGTGCCAACTACTATGGCTCCATCTGAAATTGAAGAGGAGTTTAAGAAATTCGGAAAACTAAAGCGTGATGGTGTGGCTATCAGAACGAGGAAGGTTGGTACTTTTTAACTTGCCCTTTCAGTCCTCTGGTCAATCTTTACATTGGCTGCAGCAATATTTAACTTATGCGCCTTTTTTTTATTTTGTTTGTGCAGGATATTGATATTTGCTATGCGTTTGTCGAATATGAAGATATCACTGGTGTCCGGAACGCGATTGAGGTATGGTCTCGATTAAAGATGTTTACATACATGATTTTTATCACTTAAACTACTATCTGATTGGGACATTTTAATGCAGATTTAAAGTTTACCGATAATTTACTTTGAGATCCACGTTTTCATTATATTTCCTGATAAGCATTTAGCATTTTGCCTGCTCAGTCTTCTGGTTGTTTTCTCATTTGGTTTACTTCTGAGTTCTGGACTAAGCATACTGGAGGTTAATGAAGTTGGACTTTATGGAACTAAATAAGAAAAGTTATTGGAATGAAAGCTTCTAGTTTTGCATTTTAACAATTTGACACCCGAGGAAGGTACAGCCCAACTATGAAGTACTTCAGCAGATGTTAAAATAATACATATGAATTTTGGCCGGTACAACCATTCTATTGTGAACTCCTAATAAACGTGAGACTCAATTCTGAATCATAGCTCTTGTTCTGCTATTCATCTTTTGTGTTGTCACGAATTTATCTCTGTGTTAACTTTTTATATTCAGCTTCTCATTACGTCTGTGATCTTTCTTGAATATTCAAGACTTGCATATTTTATTTTCCTTTTTAACCAAAAGCTTGTTTCATAGGCATCAACTGTGCAAATTGGTGGACACCAACTATACATTGAAGGTCGAAGACCGAACCGAGGCATCCCTATCCGAGGAAGTACGTGTTTTCTTTTTTGTATTTGGGCATGTATTTGTTGGTTTGTCTTTTAATGCACTAGATATACGATTGTTACATCTCTGTTCTTGTACAGGAGGAAGAGGTAGAGGCAGAAGTAGCTATCAGATGGATGGAGGAAGGGGTCGCTTTGGTGGTCGTGGTTTTGGCAGATCAAACGGTCAAGACGGCAGTGAACGAGAGTACAATCGACCAAGGGCAAATGGCTTCTACAGACAAGGATCTCGACAAGAGAGAGTAACATCCGGCACCAGCCAATATGGATCAAGAAGCGAGCAGAATTTTTCAGAATAAATAAAAAGTTCTATCAGGAAGGGTGAAAAGTTTTGACTCTTTCGGTGCTACGATTTCACCGTGACCTCCATAGTTTTCAAAATGAAGTATACCTTTAGTAGCTTTCAATTAGATCCGCTGGAATTAATTATAGCAAGTATTTTTTGGGTTTATTGATCAGTTGATGTCTTCTGTTTATTTAACAGTACAACACACGATTGGAATGTGATATCCAGTGTTGACATCAAATTGCTATTGCCACTTTGTTCTGCTTCATAATCTAATTATTGTTTCCCGTAAACTAGTACTTGAGGGTTCACCTTAGCGGAAAGAAGTGAGAATTTACGTGGATTTAGATTGCAAGGAATGCAACATCGTTTTTCAGCTACTTAAAGTAACTGTAAGGTTCCACCGACTAGAAAAACATCAAATGAACAAGTCAATACCATTTTTGTCGGGAACTTTCTTATATTTTGATAGATGAAGCTGAATTCGGTAAAGAAAAACAGGAAACAGGAAAACCAGTCAGAACTATGAATAGAATTGTTTCGACCATCTTGTGGGATTCATGTCTTTGTGAGTTAGCTAGTCTTGGATTACGACAACTTTGAAGGCATTTTCAGTCTCTGTAGTGTGTGCACAGTCCACATTCGTAGAGCTCAACAATGTCTAGTCTTCTTCTTCGTCCTCTTCTGCTCCCCAGAGGAATCTAGCATATGCCGCAAGCACATTGCTGACAGCGGGAAAAAAACCCAAAAGAGGGCATACGATGAGCCATGTATTTGGCATTCTTCTTCCACATAAAATGAGCTAAAGCAATTTTGTTAATACTATTGTGGATCACATGAATTTGAAAGTAATGCCTACCTGTTACTTGGTGCAACCTCGGCAGCTTGTTTGAAGTAGGGTGAAGCTTTGTGTCTGTCGCAATGAAGTTGCAATATCACTTCGGCATACTGCATAATTACTTCTCCATCAGTAGGATCAACTTGTATTGCACGCGAGTAGAATTCTTCAGCTGCTTGAAGGTCTCCCCTAGACTGCCAACAACAGTGCATTCATAGAAAAAGCAACAATTAGTTGAAGATGAAACTTCGATATGTTGAAGAGGTAACTTTGAGGTATTTTGTGAGACTAAGAGGCATTAAGCGCAATAGGCGCAACATCTTGACATGAGGTAAAGGCCAATAGGATCTCAAATATACATGAAGTTCCAAGATTCTGATAGTGCTACATGCTTTAAAGCGACATAGTTTCAACAAGCTCAAGTGGATAGAAATCAGAAAGAAATTTTGAAGATTTAAGTGAAATAGATAACTCGTGAATGTTTCAAATTTTTTCAAATACTTCCACTGATCAAATATCTAAGGATCAGGAGGAGGGGGAGAGAAAAAGGTCCAGCTATAACCTGACACAAAAATCTTGCATAATTCTTCAAAATTGAAGGGTTAGAAGGATTCTCCTCGATCATCCTTTTATAAATGCCATCATCATCAACACTGTCACCATAGTCTGCTGTCACACAATCAGCAGAAATAACCCTTTCATCAAAACCAGCTAAGTCAATTCCAAGCCCTGTCGCAAGATGTAAGGGTGGGCTGGCTGGTCTTTTCTCTTCTGCCAAATCCACATTACAGTGATCCACTTGGCGACCAAATTCTTCCACCTGAAATACAATGGACCAGAGTTATAGACTTCATGCCAAACTCTAATCTTGAAGAGCAACTTTCTTTAGGTGAAGTAACCTCTTTGTCCACATCTGAAGAACTGCTTCCTTCTTCATCTTCATCTATATCCCATAAAAAACTAGCATATGCAGCCTGAACGTGACTGTAAATAAACGGTCAGAACTCAAAGCACATAACTGACATGGAATTGACCATGGAGGGTGGCAGGTGAATGGATGCCATGATGATAGGTTGAGACATGATGATCAGTTAAGACAACAAGGTCAATTTATTAACATGCATATATAGCATTTTCTTCGGCGTATGAGCTACTACTCAATTCTCCACTGAAATTTCTACGGATTTAATGAAGCATTAATTTAGTTGGAGAATACTTGTATCAGGATCATTCATTAAAGAGCAAAGAAGGCAACACCAAATTCCATACTAGTATATTTTTGTAGTATGTAACCATGTACAATCTCTAGTTTGAGCAGAGCACAATAAACCTAAAGTTACTGATACTTTAAAGATCATTACCTATCTTCTGGAGCTGCAAGAGCTGCTCTTTTAAAGTACTTCATGGCTTTAACTCTGTCATGATGGAGCTGCCACACTAGATTAGCACACTGAAGCTGGATTTCTCCATCTGTAGGATTTGCAAGTGCAGCACGAAGGTAGAATTCCTCAGCTCTTGAAAAATCCCCTTTCGACTGTTACAAATTTGTAAGTATATCAGAAAACCACAAATAGTATGAGAAGTGAAGAACAAAGACGTTGAAACACCTAGATAAAATTAAACCTTTTCACAAAGGCTACTGTGTGCAGGCAAGACGAAGGATCAGGACGAACTTGAAATAAAAAAGAAACTCAAAGACGATTGAAAAAATATGTCAATGATTGCACCATTCATTTAACCTGGATATCAAGAGCAGAGACTATAATACACCTAATCAAACCTGTGTATGCTTAAATCAACCCCGGAGCAATCTAACCATGGCTATGGTAAACAGACGTTATGCATTTCTGCGTAATAGTTGGAAATAGGATAAGAGCTCCATTTCAAGCCAGAGTACTGCTATAAAATGATTTGCTAACCCTACATATACTGAAGAATTCTATCCATCCTTCCAGAGAAAAGTGAATTCTGATTTCCAAGAACTCAAAACTGCTTCCTAAACCAATAACTAAGTGATGGCTGGTTAATACTACAAGGAAAATCATATTTCATTGAAATTAACATCGTGATTTAATAAGTACAAACTTCGAAACTGGGAACCCTTAAGGACTAAGCCATCATGGTAAGAATTTGATTGAGAACATAATTGAGGAAGAAACCTACTAACCTGCAAAAGTTGAGCATAATTCCTCAAGAACAAAGGGTTCGAAGGATCCTCTCTGATCATTTTTCGATAATGCTCCTCAAGGGTACTGCTCAAATCAAATCCTAATCCATCTCCTTTCTCAAGTCCTGAATCAAGAGGCAGTGAACTAACAACAGATTCATCTGCAATTCCCAGATCCCGAAATCCACTCAAAGTCCCTTCATTTCCTCCTTCAACAATCAAGGCCAGATCATTCTTCCCAAAACTAAATTCATGGCTTCCCAATCCCAAACTCGTCAACCCATCTTTCTTCAACGATTCTTCTTTTCCCTCCAAATTCTGGTTCCCTCCAATTGTTTCTTCTACCACCTCATCATCGGTATTATTATAAATACTAAGCGATGGTTCCGTACGTAACATTGAATTACTTGACAACAAATGAATATCCCTCCAACACTTTTGAAACTATAAAGATCTCCAAGATAAAAGGAAAAGACTAAATTTTTCTTTTGGGCCTAAATGATGTACTAACACACAGAACTTTGTAAAGAGTTGCAGTCAAGAATGTAGGAGGACCAAATAGATATGAAAGTTCACTGATCTGTGGCTAATATTTAAGTCTAAAAGTTTTTTTTTTAATGAATTTTGAATCACTAAAATAGAGAAATTTGACCAACTGGGATTAAAATATATGAATCTTTGGACGGAGCTATTTTAATCTGATTCATGATTGCTCTAGATTTGAGGAAGAATCATCAGTTTATGTTTTTTTTTTTTTCCGAAAAGAGTACATGCTTATATTATAATTAAGTAAAATTTAAACTATTACATTTAGTTAAATTAAAAACTATATTATACATCTCATTAGGTTAAGCTTGTGAACTAACCCAAATAAGGTGTTTTTTTACCTTGTAAATTACTAAGAAAGTATACCCCATCAAAATTCAGTCACCAAGAAAAATGGCCACCAATCTTTATTCAAAGTACACGTGCAGCATGGACTTTCTGACAGCTTACGTAAAGATTGCATGATACACATGAAGTGATCTTCCTAACCTTAAAAAAGCATATCTACCCAAAAAAAAAAAAAAAAACATATCTATATTTTTCCCTATCCTTATACATAATACTAGTCTTTTAGTGCCGTTCGTTGCGCGAACAGTCTTTACTAATACTTGTGTAATATAAATCGCAATTAAGAATACTTAGAAAAATATATTTCTCTGTTAGACTTAGTAATGTGTACTCGGGGAATATTAAATGTTATAAATATTTCGTGTATGTTTATAACAAAAAGAAATATTAATGTTCATGTTTAATATGATGAGAATTAAACTAAAAAAATGTATTTGAGATATGCAGAGAAAAACAAAGGTATAAATTGAATGTCAAACTGCCCTCATGTCGGTCGCTTATTTGTTTGATCGGCGTAACTTCAGTGTTGTTGTCCTCAGGTACTTCATCTGTGAGTTCACTCTCTCTGGCGGTTATCAGCAATGGCGTCACAAAAGAACCGTCGTCCTCATTAAATTGTTGACGTAGTAATCTTGAAGCCCCCTGTACATTCTTGTTTATCCTCTCAGCTGCAATAAAAATGTTTTATTTTATAACAGCTCATGTATTTCTTTAAGATTTATCTGTTAAAAAAAACAAATAAGATATTAAGGACGTGTCATTTTTCAATGCATATATAAAGGAAGGAATAGGGATTTTTGAAACATGCGTGTTTAGGAACTTGAATAGCTGAAACGAAGAATGTGTATACCTTTTCAAGGTTCTCAACGATATCTGTTGCAGTGAAACCCAATATCTTTTCTATGATGCTACCGAAAATGCTAGCTTGGATTGATCCACTCTCGTCATGAATGTTAGCTCTTAGACAACACCTAGAATGACAACAGTAAGATTTAGGAATATTTCGAAATCATCTAATCGGCTAAAATGTCACATGTAATATTTCTAAATTTCCATATTTTTCAGAACTGTATCTTAAGAAATTGAAATTGATATACTTTGGATTGGTTATAGATTGCTTTAATGACCACTTGTTGCATTTGAAATCTTGTTGATAGATTGCTGATGTTCCAGTGCCGCATTCCTTGCAAGCCATGTAGTAGAATGGATGTGGTATGTCTCTGAACTCAACGTGGACTTTGACTGAGATATCCTAATTTTTTTGGCAAAATTTAAAGCTTAGTTAATTTGAATGAAGAAATATAAGAAGAACTAATACACGTTGCATAAGAAGTATTAGGAACCAAGCGTATTAACCTGTTGTTCATCATCGATATGTGTGACTGGACTGATTTGTGAAAGGTTTTTGTGACTGATGCCAGAAGTAGACGAGAATGATGGTTTATTCTGCAAGAAAAGATCGATTTCCTTCCTGCTTTATTGTGACCTGAAAAAGTTAAAAATGTAATTAATATGCTGAAAAATTTTATAAAAGTTGGTGTAGAAAAATAAAAATATATACTAGTTCCTCAATCTCCTTGCTTTGTCAGAAGGAGGATTGATCGAAACCACCGATCTATGTGGAGTTGTTACCTCAATTCCTGATTAATATGAGAGTTAAATTATTAGAGAACAAGTGTGCAGAAAAGTATGGTTGAGGAGTCTGTTTTGAAAAGGGCTTATTAGTGTACCATAGTATGGAAAGATAAGCATCGGGCGGCAAACGGCGGTTGAGTAACTCTTAGCTTGAACTTGTTCAGTTAATAATATTCCAACATCCTGGTGGAATTCTTCCCAAAGTGACAATCTCAAATATTGCAACCTGATTGAGAAGGCAGTACCAAAATTAAGTGTTAGCTACTTTACCAAAATATCATGATTAAATTTCGTAAACTAAAACAAAGAGGTGTATTCCGAATTAAATATCTAATAAACCTTTTGCCACCGTTTCAGAAAACGAGATGCAACATACAAGTGTAACAATAGTACATGAAAACAATCACAAAAGGACAACAATAATCATATTATCAAAATGGAAAGCAGCTCATAAAACTACACGATCCTTGTAATTCTGATAGGAATTTCACGGAAAATAAATTAGGCATTTTGAAAAAGCATTGTATAAATAATTCGAAAATCATTATATTGAACTTACTCTTCATTTAGCTTACAGAACTTCTGGATCATTCTTTTTTTCCCTTTTCCTGTCGTAACAGTTTGCTGATGGCTTCTCTCGACTATGACACCAATAACATTTGTAAGAAAAAGGTTGTTTAAAAGAGTATAGATCAATATAAGTTTTCTATTTGATAAGAATGTTTAAGTAAAACAAATACACTTCCCAACAAAACCATCTTGAACACCAGCAAAATCATTAAAGGAATCAAAGGGCGTGTATTGCTCCTTGGTCACAAGAGTAGTAATAGGTACGTTAGCCTCTTCAACAATCGTCCCAATACCAATGACCCATTGTTGGAAAGATCAGGAGACCTATACTCTGGTTTAATGTACCGGATAGGTCGTTGGAGACTCGGTATTTTCTACACGTCTGGAATCGTAGTCCCATGATGCTGACGGCCTTTCCGAATATAATACCTTCTACTTTAACACCCTACAATAATAAATCAAATATTAATATTATGAATATGTGAGGTGAAAATTAGTATGACAACTAACAAATATAGATAATGTAATTCATCTTTTCATCGTTGAATACCATCTTTTGGGTTTTAGTGTAGTGGCCGAATGGATTTTGCTTCTCCTCGACAGTGATAATAGCAGTCTAAGGCTGATCAGAGTCGTTGAGCTTGTCAATTTCAACCTTGTTCGCAATCATCTTTGGTATACAAGGAGCCATTCTAAAAAAATTTACAGGAAGGGAAAAAAATAGGCATGAATAATAAGCAAGAATTTTTGGGATGCCGTAATTGGAAATCCGATTGGGATGCCATTCTATTTGTGAGGGTTGTTGTTGTATTTATAGAGCGGATGCCGTCGTGGTGTTTGTAATCTGATTGGGATTCACAAATTAGGGGACGAATTAGAATTGGAAATTTTGCCTATTTTTTGGGTGATTTTCTACCGTAATTGAATTTGTGATTCGATTGGGATTGTAAAAGACGGGGACGAATTTGAATTGGGAATTTTTCTTTTTTTTTTTTGCTGATTTCCTAATCCAATTTGAAGAAGAAAAATGAAAATCGTTGCTTGGAGCCCCAAATTAACTACACAACCCAATGTCATGTTCAGAGTATTGGTAGGAACGCCGTCGGCGGTGCGATGGTTTGGTGGATAAGCTGCCGCTGGAAATGGAGAAGCGAAGAGTCAAATTCTGTCGGAAATGTAGAGGTTGATCTATTAGACTGAGGGGGCCGGAGGAAGAAGTGACGAAGGAAGAATTTTTTTTGATGGAGGGTGGCGGAGGGAGAAGGTGCGAAGGTGGGTGCCGGAGGGAGTAGCGGCGAAGGGGGTTGTTAAAAATGTTGAGCACGACGGAAGGCAAGACGGGGTCTTTTTTTTTTTTTTTGCGTTTGCGGTTTTTTTTTCTTTTTGCGTTTGGGGGTTTTTTTTTTGTAATAATTCAGTACATTACGAATTGTAAATTATTTGGATGGTTTAAATGCGTAATTTGATAATTTTAACCCTAATAAGTCGCTGACATCATATCAACCCAATTCGACGGATAAGATCGATTTGACGGTAGTCCTTGAATATTTCTTGGGCATTCTTTCTTGGCTACTGTGCCTTTTATTTAAGTACTAGGCTTTCGTTGTCGCGCGTTGCGCGACCAGTTTGTGTGTAAATTCTTTTACTCCTTTGTCTGATATTAATATTTTTACTTCATGTTTGGTTGATACTTTATTGTTACGCTTAATAGTGGAGTGTTGTTTTTTCTCCCTTGTTATTTGAACGTTCTTGGCTGAGGAATTGTATTTTGTTCATTTTGTTCTTGCACTCTCATAATTGTTTAATTGCGTATCCATGATTTGTTTTTTTTTTTTGATAAAAAGGTATGTGTGGCTTGGTGATATTAGTAAGAAGTAAAAGGACTTATTTCCGTTAATAAACAGTGTGCATCTATCCTGTTTTTTAGAAAATAATCTTATTATCTTGCTCACAGTTTTATGAACATTTGTACATTTTTCTTTCATAACTTAGTTTAAGGTGTTTTAACTGAGCTTGTAAAGTGTACATACACATACTGGTTTAGTACATTTATTTATTGCTATTTTTGTTTCGTCAAAATCTTGTATGTATGCACAAAACACAACTATCGTAGTGCTTATAGATTAATACAAGCATATCAATTAGTAAATAATAATGTATATAGTGAAGAAGGGGAATGATTATAATTTGCGAGATGGCTCCACTCTATTCCATCATGTATTGTTGCGGGTGGTTTTCGAGCTTTGAATCTTGGAATGAAAAATGGATCTTGTTTTGATGTTTGTCTTGGATTTTGCCGAAATTGGCACATAGGCAAATTCTATTTGGAATCTATTTTTTGTACTTCATTGTTTGTCCTGAATGTGGAATTCACAACAACCAAAATTTGGAAAACATCAATTCCAAACATATTAGATGCATCAAACGGTTTGACAATCCTTAACTCGTGGAAAAACAAAAAGTATAGAGGCGAAACATTGTATGAGTGATAAAAAAACAAAGCACATATCAAAATAATCAGCACATGTTTCTCCTGAATTTTTGCATTGGGGATTGTTCAGCATACTCCTCCACATTATGAGGAAGTTTGGCTATCTCAGATTGGAACGCAGCAGACTCCATAATAGTGATAGAGTCTTTCAGTTTTGTCCCTGAATCAGATTAAGGAACGACATTCGGCATGGGTGAGAACAAAGGTATTCTCAAGGAAGAGGTTGCAAAGCAAGCATCAAAAGCCAGGTTGAAACCAGTATTCTGAAAGAATAATTTGAGAAAGTAAGTAAAGAGCACATGAGTTTGAATCAGAATAACTTGGAGTTGCCAGTTCCTGCTAAAATCTAATATCTGAACTACCATGTTTATGAGATAGCCTCCTAAACAGAAATAAGAAGAGAAAGTACAAACCATAATATATTTATAGAGATGTTGTAATACCTTTTCTCGTTCCTCTATCATCTCTTTTGCAGTAATGCCCAAGAGCTTCTCTCTGATTTCACCTAAGTTCGTAGCCTGCAAGTGACCGTTGTGGTCACGCATATTCAACCTTATACGACACCTAAAATATCGAGGTAGGAATTTAAATCTAATGGTGATAAAGCCCATAATGGAGATTGGAACATAGCAGACTCCATAATGGTGATAAAGTCTTTGAGTTTTGTCCCTGAATCACATTAAGGAAAGACATTCAGTATGGGTGAGATAGTAAGTAAAGAGCACATGAGTTTGAATTAGAATAACTTGGAGTTGCCGGTTCCTGCTAAAATGTAATATCTGAACTACCAGTTTATGAGATAACCTCCTAAACAGAAATAAGAAGAGAAAGTACAAACCATAATATATTTTTATAGAGATGTTGTAATACCTTTTCTCGTTCCTCTATCATCTCTTTTGCAGTAATGCCCAAGAGCTTCTCTCCGATATCGCCTAAGTTCGTAGCCTACAAGTGACCACTGTGGTCAACATATTCAACCTTATACAACACCTAAAATATAGTTAGAAATTTAAATCTAATGTGGTATTTGCAACCACAAATTGAAGACTAAAAACCAACCGGTACATAATATATGATTTAACCAAGCTAAACTCTCTACGATTTAAACAAAAGTTTGAGGTGAAAACGTAGTGAAACCTGAATTTATCTGAAATCTGTGTACTACGATCTATATATAATCTACCAAGATGAATTTAAGAGTGGTAGCCGTAATACCTTCGCCCCAATGTCCATGCTGCTTTTATTCAAAAACCATATAAGATAGAATAATGGAATCACTAACTATCAAAAGGATCAGGGCAAAAGTTTTTAACAAACAAAAGGAAAATTTTAAGCACATAAACTAAAAGAGAAAAAGCAAAATAAACACCTCTACCACTGAATTTCAGAAGCTTTAGACTCGTTAAATCTTACAAAATAGTAAATAAATACCTGAAAAAAGTACACAATATAAAATCGACAGCGATTATAATGGCAGGGGGAGAATAGAAGCCTAAATTAACATAGAGAAAATATGAATACCAAGTCTTGGAATGGGAATGCCATCCAGGCAAAGCAAGAAATCTCATACAGTGGGGAGCCTAACCAGCTATGGAAAGAGTTTTCTCAGCTGCTCTTCATGGAACTAAGAACCCATCATGAGTGATAGTGTCACTTGCAGTCAAAGTCTTGCAGAAGAACTCAGTAGGATGTTTGCCAGTCTTTAGCCAAAATCTGGCATGGGGGAGGCATCCTTTTCCTGATCCAAAAGCAAGAGAAGAACTCCATATCACTAAGAACTCATCACAATATAACAATGATTCAGTGGAATCCTTCCATTCAGCCAATATAATAATGATTATACAAGTACAAATTTCAGCGCGAAACTTACAAAGTTCATCGATGCATTTGAGCATAAATCTCATTGGTGTCTTTATCAGCTTGCCATAAACACATCAGGATAACAACTTAGTTTATAAATTTATGAAACAAACTAACCCCATTAGTTTACCATCCTTAGTCACAAAGGATCTGGTCCTGTTTTGAACAATCCACAAGTTCATGGCAATAGAAAGAAAAAGAAATAAAATCTAAAAATTTACACCACATAGACTATCAAAGAACTCTTCAAACTGTCATGTACATGAATAATATGCAGTTGATGTGAACAAACATTAACCAATGGGCAAAACAAAACACCCATGAAGCAGCTACAAGAGTGCAAGGTGCAGTATCGGATAACCATTATTTTTTGGCAATTTCCAGTCTTATCTAAACACTACAGTTGAATTACCTCCAGCACAATACCATGCACCACTCGCCATCTCCATGGTCTTGGTCGACAACGACATCGCCGGTGCAACCGACTCTGGCATAATCGAAATCTTTGGGGATCGTCGAAAATCCAAAGGGAAGTAAAATCAGCTGTTGAGAGAGTTTGGGGTGGTTCTATTTGTGGGGATTGTTGGTGTTTTTATAGACCGGTTGCCGACTTTGTGTTGTAATCCGATTGGAAGTTTAAAATCATGGGACGATTTGGAATTGGAAAATTTTTTTTTCTGGTGATTTCCTAATCCTATTTGAAGAGGAAAATCAGAAATTGTTTCTTGTTGGGCCAAAATATATTCAAGGCCCAAGGCCATGGTGTTGGTGGAAACGCCGCCGGCAGTGTTGGGGTCACGGTGGAAACGAGGCGATTGACTGATTTCCAACGGAGGGTGGCAGAAGAAGAAGTCGGGGAAGAGGTAATTCTGAGAACGACGAGGGGAGAGAGGGTTTTTTGGTTTAGAGATGAAGGCACGACGTCATTTGTGGAGTTTTGGGGGGAAAAAATTAGGCAGAGGAAGGGGACAACCTCGTTTTCTTCATCGGGGGGTTTTTTGCTTTTTATCCTCAAAAATTTACGTTTGTTTATTGGGGGTTTTTTCTTATTACCCTCAAAAACACAGTTGAAATTTCATTTTTGCCTCTAATAAGTGATTTAATACCGACCGTCGGGTTGAACCCATCTGACGGACGAAATCGCTTTGAAGGTGTCCCTGAATATTTCTTGAGCATTATTTCTTGAAAAAAAAATCTTACTGCTTGTCTTTGTAGAAAAAAATGTTACTGAAACGCAGATCAAGAACCTTACTGAATCAGTTAATATCAGAACCATCGTGAAACTTAGCACAACCAAAAGATAGAAAAGGGAGAAAACATGGCTTGGTAATTACTCGAATAATTTGAGTTTTCAGCACATATGCAAGATATGGCTCAAAATATATTTACTCACGATGACTTCATCAAGCAACTCATAAACGAGCACAAAATTCTTCCGCAGAGAATCTTCATTAAGAATGCTAGATAATCCTTGATGACACGGGCAATGCTCTGTGAAAGCTCCAGAATGAGAGAAGGAGCAATGTTTGTTCTCGTGGTTGCAACAGAAAAGAGCCCAGGCCAGCCACCTTGACATGGAAGTAGTTTACACAATCCACATTCTATGAACAGAAACATACACATCATTAGGTTAAGTCACACTTGCTGAGGGTTAACCCACTAACAGAAATACCTACAAATACAGGCAGAGCCTCCTCTTCGCCGTCTTCACTCCAAAGTTTAACCTTGTGGAAGAACGTCTCAGCACTTCCCTTTTGTATGTCACCACGATCTGCATTTCAAAGAATAAGGCATAAAACAACATCTCAAAATCTTGAACAGTAGCAGAATATAGCTCACTTGATCGATGTCTGCATGATATTCGTAAACCAATAAGACCCTTTAAAATTCAGCCAAACACACATAAGTGATCATACCGATCTCATCCCTTCCCAAACACATATTTTCTTCATTTAAACTTCACCGAGAAATAAGCTTATGTTGCACATTCTGATAAACCTCTACAAACATAAGGTTGAAAATCACACATGCTCTATACTCTATAAGAGCAAGAATGACAAAGTGAAGAGCTATTTTATTAGAATGGAAAAAGAAAACATGCAGCACAATTAACACTACGATGTTATAAGGGGACCATAATATCCAGTAAATCATGGCTCCCACAGCGGAAAGACAACAGATATAGAATTAAGATTTAGTTCAGAATAGAGAAATTCAAGTTGCTAGTTGGGAGAATAAAAAAACATTGCATTCCGAAATCATACAAATAAAAAGACAAATTTGGAATGAAAGAGCTCCAATTTGTCAAATATCAGCTGTCTAAGTAGATCTGATTTACAGTACCACTATTATATGAAAAAATTAAGGGAAGAGCTAGGGGCAAAGGAAACTCACAGTCGCGGAACACGATGTTGTCGCCTCTCTAGGAGAGCACGAAGAATTGAGAGATCATCATGGTGCCGGTGCCGGTGCCGGTGACGGAGTTCCTTCAATTCCAAGGTTTAGAATGCTTTTTTTTTAAGAATCAAGCTCCTCCCTAATTGAATTTCAAGGGGATGGCGAATTTGAGCTCATCATGACAAGACTATATATACATAGAAAGCACTATGCTACCATGACATCAGCAGAAAAGCCCGTCGAAGTATTATGCTAGAGAGCTGAACAAGAAAACTTGATGTGGTCTAAAATTGTGAGGTTTGCTGGGCTTTTATAGCCATGGTAGCCGATCTCAACTTTCTAATGAATCTGAAATTCCCATTCATATTATAATTCGGAATTTACAGCCTTATACAAATCTAAGATTAAATGGTAATTTTCAAATTCTATTCCTCCGTGCTTCGGATACCGGTTGTTCCGCTGCCTCTCTTTCGGCAACTCGACGCATTGGATCTGATGGAGAATCTGGTTTTTCCATGGTAAGGAGGACGATGAACGGTAGTAGGTGGCAGTGTAGGCGGAGAAAGTATTGTACCCTATGTTTTTTTTTTTGGTTTTTTGGAGAGGAAGATGAGGTTCAGGTCGGGTTTCATTAGGTCGCAGTGGAGGCACAACTTTTCTTTTAATGGTTTTGGGTGAAGAAGATGAGGTGGACGATGAGGGCAAATGGGAAATTTTAGTTGATTAGTGAGTAATACAAAACGACGTCGTTTGATGGGTTGGGAGTTTTCAAACAAATTTATAGGGATTGGTCAACGACTTTGTTTTAAAAGCTTGGGGATTTTTATTTAAAATTGGGAGGGCATGCATTTATGAAATCTCATTATTGCCCCTAATAAATCGATGACATCATATTGAGACCATCTGACGAACGAGAACGATTTGAAGGTGGCCCTGAATATTTCTTGGGCATTTAATTTCTTGCCTACTGTGCCTTTATATTAAGTATAAGGATAAGGATAAAGGCACAGTATACAAGAAATTAAATACCGAAGAAATATTCAGGGTCACTTTCAAATCGATCTCATCAATCAGATTGGTACTATCCAACGGCCAATATTAAGTCACTTATTAGGGGCAAAAACAAAATTTCACAAATTCAGTGTACTGTTTGGTTCGTTTTTCCGTTCATTTTTTCAGAATTTTTAATTAATATCTATCCCATCACAGCATACTTTTTTCAGAAAGGCACAGTAGGTAAGAAATAATACCCAAGAAATATTAAGGACCACCGTCAAAACGATCTCATCCATCGGATGGAGTTAATATGACGTCAGCGACTTATTAGGGGTAAAAACGAAAATTCATAATTTTAGTTTTCCACTAATAATTATTAAGAAATTTGGGAAAAAGAACTCTAGCAATCAAAAATAAAAATAAGAAGTAATATCGATGTCCTTTTCTCCGTCTTCCTTCCCAAACTGAAACTCCTACATAAGGCAAAAATCCCTCCCTCCGTTGTTCTCAACCTCTGGTGAATTTATGCCAAGGGCCAATGCTTCTTTCCGCTCTCTTTTACTCTCTTCTCTTGAATTGGTTTTTCAGTTGATTCTACTTACTCCTATCTTCGATCCAGAAGCACCCTCGAATAAGATTCGGAGTCAATTGCTTTGCGCCTTTAGAGATTTTTATGTATAACTACTCTTATATGTAAAACTGCTCTTAAAGGTATAAAACTTCTGTAGCTCTGAATAGTTGTCCCAATTTCAAAAGCTGATAATTCAGTCATTGAAGCAACAGAGGGAGTTTACTAACATGGTGCTTTTGTTTTACAATCTTTACAAAAAGTTGGCCCTTAATTTTTCTAGAGGCGTTGAATCTGATTTATTTTGACGATTGTATTATAGTTTGCATATGTATATTCATCATAATTTGCATATTTGAGTGGATAATGAAGCAATATTTGGGACGAAAACTGTACTTGGGACTTCCGGATTTAAATCTTACTCAGTCCAAAGAACACTACACAAACTAAAGCAGTAAAATTTATGTAAAACCTGCCAACCGGTGAGGGAGAAGAAAACGAAAACAATAAACCCCATCAAAATTCTGATTTTTTGAGTTAAAACTGAAGCCGCATGTTGCCAATTAAGGGGAAACACCAATCGAAATCATCGAGGCCAGTTCAATTCGATCCAACTTCAGAGAAGGAGATTTATGTTATTTTTATGCTTATAATCTATACATGTTTATTGATTTGGGTTTTTGTGTTGTTATGTTTGGAGTGGACTGACTATAGTGCTAGGTCATATTTGCGCTTGGAATTAGCTCTGAATACCATTTCAAATTAATTTTGGTTAAAGGCAATACGCTATTCTTGATCACTAGGCCATGTCCTCAGTTTTTCTGCAAGAACATTGTCGTGGGTTCTGTGCTTGAAGGTTAGTCCAGTTGTACTTTCTCTTTTCTTCATGCGTTTCAAGTTTCTTGTTTATTTATGTTGAATACCAGCAACAAATGTTTCCAATTAGGATTAACTCAATTTATTCTATTCTGGCATTTAAAAAGTTTTGACGCAAGTAATTTGAATTCAACTGGCATATATAATACTAACTCAAGTAGTTTTATGTATTATAAATCCATTAAGCTGCAATTCATTACAAGATGGACTACTAGATACATGTTGTCTCTTCCATATTGTGGACTTTCATACTCATTCTCTGATTTCATTGTAATTTTCTGCTCCTGATATGGTCTTTGGCACTGAAGGTAGTGCAAGCGGCCATTGGGTGAAGGTGGTACAATGATGTAGTTTTTCTATCTCAAAGAGAAGGCTTGCAGGTATTCTTTTTTTCAGAATATAGTTTCTGTTTCTTTATTTAATTGGCAAAGAGATTATGAACTCAGTTAAGTTTGTAGATAGTTCATGTTTGTCCCATTTTGTTTTTACCCATTTTATGGCACTCTCATTTCTTTGAACATAATACATTGTAATGCTTATTTTACTTCAATTGTTTTCTTTATCTGGTTTCCTTTTATTTATTATACCTGAATTTTTGCTGTAAATAATAATTCTATTACTCAAATTCGATATTTTGCATCCTCTCACACAGAACCAATTATCTTGTGATATCATCGGGATTATGGTGTGAAGTTTGAGAAAGATGGTGAAGGATTTATCCAATTGGTGGGATTTAAGAATGAAGATCTGGTTATAAGTCATTTGGACCTACCATGTAATCCATTCATCTCATTTTGCACCATCCTGGACCTTTTGTGGTTTGTGCTTTAAAAAGATTCACAGTTTTTACGTTCACATGTGCCATCGAAATCAAGTAAACAGACTCAGTCAGCATCTCCAAGCCATCAGATTCTTCTTCTGGTTCTTTTTCCCTTCCTGTGACATTTAGAAAAATATTTATGTGCTATCATCATCACGAAAAATATTTATGTGCTATCATCATCACTCAATCTGGAATGAAGCTTCAACAGATGTTATACTTTTCAAACATGGATGTTTTATGCTAAATTCTGATGGAGTTCAAGGGTTTAGATTATAGGATTGAGTGCATTATTTGCTAGATGGTTTAACTTATGAGGCTTTTAGTTCATGATTTTAGTTACGAAGTAAGTTCCCGTTTGAGATTAGATTTGGCAATTTGGGTTTTGGGGATCAACTTTTATGGTGTTTCAACTTTTAAGTTAGATGTTATGCATGTATAGCTGTGTTCAAACTTGATTTTGTCTGACTTTTTATTTTCCGAGGGAATAGATTCATTTTATCTATCAGCTTGATTGTCTTTCCACATTTGAAAACAATAGTTTTTCTTTTAATCATTTTTTTCCAATGTTATGGAGTGTAGGGATGATATGGGCCAAATCATGCGCTACTGGTGTGTGTTGTGGCATAATTCTTGCTTGCTTGTAATTATTGTATTTCTTAAAATTGCTCTGGTTCTTGTTTGCTGGAAAATAATGCAAATCTAGGCCTTTGTTTTCACAGATATTTTATTTGCACAATAACATTTACCCCAGATTATTTAGTTGGTTTAGCATTTTTAGCTTCTCCAGTTACTTCTAGCCAGTATATTAGTTTGCACCCAAATTATGTGTACATTAGTTAGATTTGTTTTGCTGCTATGATGGAATTAGGTTTTCCACTGCATTTTCCAATCTGGAATTTTCCGTCTTTTTTATTTGAACAAAAATTTGATTTATTGAAGTAAGCTTGTGATCTTTTTCTTGGTGCTGCTTCTTGCTTTTGAAACCTACTCTTTGTATGTGAATATAAGCTGTAATCGGGATAAAAAAAAAAAAGATCTGTACAAGAGGATTGTAGTATGCCGGATGAGCATAACTGATGTTATTGGCAATGGAAGGACAAGGGTTCTTTATCGGCTTCTATGAATAGCAATGGATTCACCCTTCATCTCTTGGGTTAGAAGAACGAAGAAAAGCTCATGAGAGTGGCTCCATGCAATAAGTACCACTTAGTAAACCAAAGAACCAATCCTGAACTCCACCTGGCTTTTGGAAAGAAAACATTATCCTTGTGTGCACCTCTT